ATTTAATTTTATTACAATTTGTTTTACTATTTTTTAAAAATGTGTATTTTTTTATAAAAAACCAACAAAAAAAATCTTCACCGTTAACGACCGTTTGCCCGTCTCTGTACGTTTATTATTGACCCGACTACTGAGGCTGCTATCAGCGACTGATTGTTGTCAGGCATCTGTAGAAATGTCGTTGCTATATTATTACCGGAGTTTTTAGCTTTACTCTCTGGCATCTCTTCACACACACACACACACATGCATACATACATACATTCGCAAAAAGTCTCCACTAAGTTTTTTTTTTATAACATAACCTGTATCATAGCTCCTCCAGCCACCCTTTTGCTCTTAGAAAACCTGCTTTACACCCTGCTTACATTCAACAGTCATTAAGTTAAAAGAGAGCACTTTCTCTCTCTCTCTCTTTTGAAAATTTATGTTTTTGGAGATTCATTCATATGTATATGTATCTCTTATTTACTCATTTATGTATGGTCTTTTAAATTTCCTGCTATTTATAATTCCAATGTGTGTTTTTTTTTTTTGCTTTTATATATCATTTTTCTTTTTATTGTGTTTCCTTTTATACATTTGACATTTTATTTTGTTTGTTGTACATAGTCGTCATAGTTGTAGTAGTAAAGCTACCAAAAAGGATGTTTGGTAAATGTCACATAATTCGCTTAACACTGACATCTGCTGTTGCTTAGCAATAAATAAAATTACTAGCAGCAGCAGCATCGTGCTATTACTTTAGCATACTTTTAGGATGTATTTATTTTTTGCTGCTAACAAGTACTTGATGATTGTAAACAAATTTGGGTTGCCATATGTTGATTTTAGGAACTTTTAACATAGCGGGCTTTTTTTAAGGCCGATAGAACTTGATTTTATTAAAAATAACGCGAAAAGGTAAATTTTTATAAAAAACGATGTATTAGAACTATTTTCGACTGTGAATAATCATAATTACTTATAATGTAGTTTATTATTAATATGTTTAATATTTATAAAAAAAAAACTTTATATAAATCTTGAAAGCTTAAACAATAAACAAATAATAGACCGATACGAAAAATGTGCCGCCGATTGATTTATGTATATACATATGTATGTATGTATATACGAAACATATTCGTGTAGAAATTTATGCCGATATAGTTATTAACCCAGCAGTTCGTTCGGACAATCCCGAACTATTTTACCTACTACTTAGGGCTACCGCTAGCCACTGACTGCCCAGGTGACTACCGATTTTAACATGTGCTTGTCATACGAGGAAGTCAATCGTCACCCCATAAGTTACAAAGTGAAGATTATCTTCACCCTCGTTTACAAAGAGTATATCCGTGACGAATGACGAATTAGAGCCAACCAGAGGGTTAGACGTTAGTGGAAATAACTGTATTTTTCGGATGCATTGACTCTTTGTTGAACTGCTGGATAAGTAATGAGTTTTCTGAAGTGGACTTTATATTATGATCGTTTAATTGATGTTCGGAAGTGGACCTTATATGGGAGTTATAGACCGATACAGGTTGTAGTTAGTAATACGATTTATACATACATATATGTAAAATTTTGTGATTACACCGCCATTCTAGAGGATATAACTACCAATAAATGAATTTTTCGGAATTATCTAAATTTGTATGGGGAAATGAAATTTTGAACCGATTTTTAACACTTTTCAGCAGAGTTAATTTCGGGATGATAAAAAGAATTGCTTTCATATAGCCTCCGGAAGACGAAACTTTCGCAATACTAATATTTTATCAACGAAACTATTATAGGACTAGTATCAATATTTCCATGTGTTAATAACGGAATGATAAAATCAATAAATATTTAAATAAAACCGTTAAGAAAAGTGTTACCAAATTTTCCAGTATACATTGTTGTATTTGCCCATAATTATTTCTTACATTCTATAACAACTCTGTTTATTATTTAACGAAACGAAACGGCTGTTTCAGCTAATTTGCTGAACATAAACAGAGTTGCATTTAAAAACAATTCTTATGTTACCCAATCGGCAAAAAGATGTATTTTTTGTTTTTTAAAACGTTTCAAAATTTTTTTATTATTTGTAATAGTTTACTCTGAGATTTATAATAAATTTTTAGAATTGTTATAAAGTAGTTTTAGTCAAATGTCGAATTTATTTTAAAGAAAATGTGATTCTGTTTTTCTAGATTTAATGATTTAGCATTATTTTGACAATGTTTTTACGAAATGACTTATTGACAGTATTTCTGTTCATATATAGTTTTATTATTATATATATTATTGAAAATTGAATTTAGAGCACCCTGGTTGCTTCGCTACTCCAACTAAAATTAAATACATTCAAAATTTTGATTACTTTTATAGAAAATTTTAATTGATTAATTGTTTTTTTAATGTTTCTGTTTTTTATGTTCAATATTATCAATATTAAAAGGAACGTATATTTTTTTAATTTCATGCGTTTTGCTTTCACATTATAGAAAATTTCGAAAGTACTATTTGAACAAGGAAAAAGTACTATAAAATACCTCTTACAGATTCTCAGTCTATAACAAATTTTATTTTTCTGTGTTCAATGTTATAGAAAATTCAAAAAGTACCATCTGAAGAACGAAAACAGTATAGAAAGGACCTCGATAAATTCTCATTTAATAAGGACCATGTGTTCCTGTTGTCAACAATAGCAAATCCCAAAGGCACCATTTGAAGAATGAAAAAGTACCAAAGCGTCATGCACGTTCATATTTATGTTTCTAGGTTTAATATTTTAGAAAATTCAAAAAGATAAAAAGTACTAACAAGTTCCCTCTGTTTAACAATCATGTGTTTTGGATTCATAACTATAATTTCTGCCCTTCGCGCATAGGAATAAAATTTTTCGAGAAATAAATTTGCAAAAGGCTCTGTTTTTAAATCAATATATCAGATAAAACTGAAACGATACATTTGTTTAAGAAAAAATATTTTGTTTTTTCAAAAAGTACTATTTACCAGAATTTGATCCTATATAGCACTTATTTCCCAAGTTATTTTACTTTGTATTAGTGAATTAACTATTTTTTTTAAATTTTATAAATATTGACTCAATGAGTTTACATTAAATTAAATTTCCATTTTTCCCCTTGTTGGTACATACTTTTTTCTCCCAGAGAAATAGCAACAAATATTACAGATTTAGTCCGTAATTTAATAGGTATACGTGAATATATCCAAAAAGTTTTCTTAATGTGCCAAAAAAATAATCAAAAATACAATTTTCTCCTATTTAAAGCTAAAAAGGAATTTTAAAAAAATTGGGAAACAGGTGTTTTATATTTATGGAAGATATGTCCAATATATTTACAAAAATCTTATTATCTTTATAGTAATAAAGGATAGTAATAAAGGACTAAAAAAGTAAGAAAAACACCTTTGTTACAAATTTTTAACCCTAAAAAGTACGAATTTTGAATAAGTACCATACACCCATCTGCTATTTTTAAGAATAGATATAGATGTACTATTTAAATTTTTTCTTGTATCGCTAATTTTAAGAAAACCTGTTTTAACCGTTTTTTCCTCTTTTACTCCCAAATATAAAAATTTTCAATAATCCCTCCTTAGTGATCTACATAACAAAAAGACATCTAAATTTGTCAAAATTTCATGATTCTAGGTTTAGCCGTTGGGGCTGTGCGATGAAGAATCAATTTGTCATTAATACGACTCTTTTATATACATTCATAGATTATAAGATTATTAAGATTTTGAACGATCGCTTAATATTCTATTGACCAAATATTTGACTGAAACTTATAATCAAAACTTTGGGACAATTATGACAAATATTCAGTATTCAAAAAAGAGAAATTATTATTTATAATCGATAAACTCTGGAGTAACTGCCCCAAATTAAATATAACCTTTACACATATGTAAGTTCTAGGGGAATGCGAATTGTTCCCGTGATTTTGATTTTGTAATGGAATATATTGAAATTTAAAAGGTATTCTGATTCTTATGTATAAAGGGTTCTCGAGGCCCAATAATGCAAACCAAATATCCTTCTATTATAATTATAAATACTACCAAAATAATTTTATTTACATTTACTCAAGTTAAAAGGTAAAACAAATATGTCAAAATAAATCTGATAACAATAAATCGAATTTTATTAATTTTTTCGAAACTTTTAGATTTATTTTGAATTAACGGAAAATTGGTTCAAAATACCACTAATCATAAATATTATCTAATAAAAATAGTTACTACTTTTTGTTTTGACGATTCTGTAATAAAATCATCTGGCAACTGTGTTTATAAGTTGTCAAATTAAGTTTATATACTATCCAATAGATGGCGTGGTAAAGTATTTTTCATTTATACGACTTCATAAACGAACAAAGGACAATAGATGATCTTTTTGTTTTTATTATTAGATATTTCCTTATTTTTAAATATAAAGATCCCTTATAAATAATCTCCGCTAATTTGTTTCTTATGGAGTTTTCAACAGGCAGACAGACAAAAAGATGGAGGGAAAAGACTAGACCTTAAGGGACGCTTTATCTAATAAGTCAAAGAAGCTGTTGAGCTTACAACGAAGCCTTTGTTTGTTTAACTATGGAGGAACAAGGTTTTACTTCTCGCAGTAGATAAAAAGGACTTTTTCTTAAAATTTCTTAATAAACTGCAACTATTTACTTTTTATAAGCTAAACACACAATAAAGTAATAGAATTATTAACTTTTTGTTTTCTTTCAAAATCCATACAAAATGAAAATAAAATAGAAGCTTACCCCGAGATCTTGTTAATGAAAAAAATTAATTTCCTTGGTATTTGTATCATTAATTTCACTTTATATACACACAATTAATAATAAAACCCTACTACTTTTAATTATTTATATTTACAAATTTTAACATTCACTTTTAACATACAAACAAATTTTTAAAATAAATAACACAAACTTTGTCTTATTAGAATTTTTTTCTATAACTAACTTATCTGGCATCACGGCAGACGATTAAATAACTTAACGATATGGCTGAATAGAAACAACAAATTTAACGTTAAACGGCAACACAGATTTAACGAAGAAAAGACACCATTCTTGTCGAGTTGAGCGAACGTGAACGATTTTCGTCAACCATCTTTAAAAAATACGTCTAGAGAGGAGTTGGGTGTATTAGAAGTAAAATCAAATTATTTTTGCAACCAGCGACAAATTAATTAAATTTAAGTAAAATGTCGATGATTTCTGCTCGTTTGGCCTCATCTGTGGCCCGTTCTTTGCCCAAGGCTGCCCAACAGGTATTAAATTTTTAACAAAAAAAAAGACAATTTTTTACCCCAAAAAAAAGAAAAAAAAATGTGCAAAAAAATCCGAGTGTGTTAAGTGCAAAATGTAAAAAATTAATAATTTTTTTAATTGGCTGCCAGAAAAAAATTGAAAAACAAAAGTGCTAAAGTGTTAATAAGGTTTTTGTAAGAATTTAATTATTCTTTAAAAGTAAATTTTAAGGTTTTCCAATAATTTTTTACGAAAAAAAGTTATGGTTACGCAACCTTTGGTTAGGTTTTTATAGAACAGCAAAAAAATGTGTGTGTGTGAAAAGACGGGGTCATGAACAAAAAGAAAAAACTGCCGCTTGTAACAGGAAAAACAAGAAAAATTACATAATTCTTTAATAAAATGTAACAAATTGTAACTTAACTTAAGGAAAAATTATAAAAGAAATGTATAAACAAATTTGCCAAATAAATTTTCCGGTTACATAAGTCGTGTGTTAGTTTTGCGGCACTTTTTTCACTCGGCTCCCCGGTCTCTCAGCTGTCATATAACTGGTATCATCGTCAACGATTAGTTTTCATGTATTGATTTTGTTTTTTTTTTTGAGGTTAGGTTGAAAAATTATGTAGTTTTTTTTTTAATATAAAGACAATTTTATTCAAATTTTTCTTAATTTTTAACAAACAATTAAAGAAAATTTTTGTTTAATTAGTTTATTAGTCTTTTTAGAAAAAATTTTTAATAAATTTATTGCAATTTCTTATTAGTTTTATTAGAATGCATGTGCTAGAGAGAGACAACTGTATTGTGTATTTGCACTAAAAAAAATTCATGTGCTGCCGTATGTTTTTTTTTGTTTTGTGGTTATTTAACTGTCAAGTTAAAGTGGCCAAATGAAAATTTCTTACATAAGTTGAAAAATTGCAGATTTTAATAAAAAAACATGGAAAAATTGAAAAAATTTAAATGAATATAAAATTTTTATAATATATAATTAAGGAAATTACTTTGTTTAGTCTTTTTTAATTAGTTTTATATAAAATAAACATGCAAATAAGTTTGTGTAATGAGTTGAATACAAACTTTTTATACCCTACACCACTTTAGTGGGGAGGGTATATTGGATTTGTGCTGATGTTTGTAACATATAAAAATATTCGTCCTAGACCCACCTTAAAGTATACCGATCGGCTTAGAATCGTTTTCTGAGTCGATTAAGCTATGTCCGTCCGTCCGTCTGGCTGGCTGTACATGTAAACCTTGTGCGCAAGCTACAGGTCGTAATTTTCAAGATAATTGGATGAAATTTGGCACGCACGTTTTATTTGACCCAAGGACGAAGCCTATTGAAAATGGTTAAAATCGGTCCATTATTTCACCTAGCCCCCATAGAACAGAACCCCCCGAAAAGGGCTTCTGAGCTCATAATTATGTTAAATATACAGATATATCGATAAAATACGGCATAACAAGTTTTATAGAAGTCTTGATAACCCTGCCAAATTTCATAAAGATCGGGCCCCATTTGACCCTAGCTCCCATACAAAGTCCCCTTCAGAAAATTACTTGAATGTCCCAAATTAACTTATAAACACAAATATCGCGATGAAATTCAGCACAATAAAATATTATGTAAATAATTTTATCGGGCTTGGTCCATATTTGCCCCTAGCCCCCATATAAAGCCTCTTTCAGAAAATTAGTTTTTCATCCGTAAATTGCTTAAATGTATCGGAACAAGGGAATATTGAAGATAAATGCGATATTATGAAAAATAAATCACATTTAATATTCATAACTGGTGTAGGGTATCATATGGTCGGCCACGCCCGACTATACTTTCTTACTTGTTTTTTTTTTAAATTTTACTTGTTTATCTAATTTTGAAAAGTTTAGTTAAAAAAATATGTAAAATTATTATTAGCAGTTTATTAATTAATTTAAAAAGTATTTAATGTTGTAACTAGGGTTTCTTTAAGATTTTAGGGAGTATTTAGTTAATATGTTGTACAGGTATGAAAACTTTCAGTTCATGTTCCAAATTTTCAATTATTTTACAAAAAATTTCGATACATGTCTTTCTATTATAATTCTGTTCATGATTGTAATCGATTTTATCTAAACCCTCCCTTTTATCCATTTGTAATAAATACTTTGGTTATATACATATATAGTAGACCTTCAAAGTTTAAGTTCATCGTTAGCCATTTTATCTATTCAGTAATCTAAGACCTAATCTACAGATTATTCTATTAACTTGTTTACGGACTAGTCCATAACATTGTTTATAGTCTAGTTTATGGACTAGTCCATAGTTTAGTGTATGGAATAGTTTATTGAACAGTCTATGGACTAGTATTAATCTATTTACTAATTTCTGGACTATTCTATGAACTAGTCTATTGAGTATTCTATGGATTATTTTATTCATAAACCAAGAGACTATTCTTAGTCTATTGTCTAGTTTATCAACTAATCCATTAGCTGGTCCTTTTCATCAATATGACTCCAGTTTAAAAACCAACCAAAATACCAAAGATTTCATGTTTACTCTTGTATTTTTCTTAGAAATTCTTTTTGAAAACCTTTATTTAACACAAAATTTAGCTTAACATTGTTAACTCCCTTCTAACTAACTACCCTTCTCCCACTAAGTAGTTAATTTCCTGAGTACACGTATTGCTTTTTCCCCCGCTTATCGCATCAAAGGCAAGTGCACTCTGTATCAAATTAGATATATAAAGATTTGATACAATTTACTTTAACTTGCCAACATAAAAATATTATTGGCAATCATTTATTCATTGATATGATTCATACAAGATCATATCAATTGTGTCTGAATTGCTACAAAGTATTTTGAAGCATGCTAAACACACTAACTAATGTAGTAAAGAAATTTAGTAGTTAAAGTAGTTAGCTAACTAATCTAAACTTATCCACAATAACAATTATGATGTTTTTTCAAAATCTTGTCAGATTTAAAAACAAAATTTTTGAAATTTAATTGTTTTCTCATATTTTTCGATCAATATATTGTAAATTTAACAAATTTTGAAAAAAAAAAAACTCAATTTCTCTAAAATTCACTAAATTTTTGAGCTTACTGGCACAGTTTTTATGCTACAGGTTTCATAATGGAAACCTCCCGTTTCTAAAACATCTTGTTTTTCTGACAATTTTTGAAAATTTCCAACTAAATTCCAAACTTTAGCATAATTTTCTAAACATATATCAATAAAAAAATTTAAAATCTTTTAAAAGTCCCAAAACAAAAACTAATATTTTCTTTTTGAAAATTTTTCTCTCCCTCAACCAGGTCGCTTGCAAAGCCGCTTACCCCGCTGCCACTCTAGCTGCACGTAAACTCCATGTCTCCAGCACACAACGTAGCGCTGAAATCTCTTCCATTTTGGAAGAACGCATCATGGGTGTTGCCCCCAAGGCTGATTTGGAAGAGACTGGCCGTGTGTTGAGCATTGGTGATGGTATCGCTCGTGTTTATGGCTTAAACAACATCCAAGCCGATGAGATGGTAGAATTCTCTTCCGGTTTGAAGGGTATGGCCTTGAATTTGGAACCCGATAACGTTGGTGTTGTCGTCTTCGGTAACGATAAATTGATCAAACAAGGTGATATTGTCAAGCGTACCGGTGCTATTGTCGATGTCCCCGTTGGTGATGAATTGTTGGGCCGTGTCGTTGATGCTTTGGGTAATGCTATTGATGGTAAGGGTGCCATCAACACCAAGGATCGTTTCCGTGTCGGTATTAAGGCTCCCGGTATCATTCCTCGTGTATCTGTACGCGAACCTATGCAAACTGGTATTAAGGCTGTCGATTCTTTGGTACCTATTGGTCGTGGTCAACGTGAATTGATCATTGGTGATCGTCAAACTGGGTAAGTTATTTGTAAATTGTTAAAAATCCAAAAAATTATGACAAATTCAAAAATGTCTGTCCAAATGTTAATTTTGTCAAATTTTTTTTTCTTCTACTTGCAGTAAAACCGCCTTGGCTATCGATACCATTATCAACCAAAAGCGTTTCAATGATGGTCAAGATGAATCCAAGAAATTGTACTGTATCTACGTTGCCATCGGTCAGAAGCGTTCCACTGTTGCCCAAATTGTCAAGCGTTTGACTGATGCCGGTGCCATGGACTACTCTGTCATTGTCTCTGCTACCGCTTCTGATGCCGCTCCCTTGCAATACTTGGCTCCCTACTCCGGTTGCGCTATGGGTGAATACTTCCGTGACAAGGGCAAACACGCTTTGATCATCTATGACGATTTGTCCAAACAAGCCGTTGCCTACCGTCAAATGTCCTTGTTGTTGCGTCGTCCCCCAGGTCGTGAAGCCTACCCCGGTGATGTATTCTACTTGCACTCCCGTTTGTTGGAACGTGCCGCCAAGATGTCCCCTGCCATGGGTGGTGGTTCCTTGACTGCCTTGCCCGTCATTGAAACCCAAGCCGGTGATGTATCCGCTTACATTCCAACCAATGTAATTTCCATCACTGACGGTCAAATCTTCTTGGAAACTGAATTGTTCTACAAGGGTATCCGTCCCGCCATTAACGTCGGTTTGTCTGTATCCCGTGTCGGTTCCGCTGCCCAAACCAAGGCCATGAAACAGGTCGCTGGTTCCATGAAATTGGAATTGGCCCAATACCGTGAAGTCGCTGCCTTCGCCCAATTCGGTTCCGATTTGGATGCTGCTACCCAACAATTGTTGAACCGTGGTGTTCGTTTGACTGAATTGTTGAAACAAGGTCAATACGTACCCATGTCCATTGAAGATCAAGTAAGTAGTGTACAGCTGTTACCAACAAAATTAAAAAAAAAAAACAACAACAAATTAACCCTTTTACCTGTGTCCGTATCTTTGCATCTTTTTCTAACTTCCTAGGTTGCTGTCATCTACTGCGGTGTCCGCGGTCACTTGGATAAGATGGATCCCTCCAAGATCACCAAGTTCGAAAAGGAATTCTTGCAACACATCAAGACCTCCGAACAAGCCCTCTTGAACCAAATTGCCCAAGAAGGTAAAATCTCTGAAGCTGCCGATGCTAAATTGAAGGAAGTCGTCACCAAATTCTTGTCCACCTTCCAAGCTTAAGCTCTTTACTACCATCATCATTTAAATAACAGCAGTTTTACTACTCATAAGTTACACTACTCAACAACTCACACAGTGTAAAACACCGTCATCAGCCCACGTTGATCGTCGTCACGTTATTCTTATAATTTAATTATAAAATTCCGTTATACGAGAAAAATGCAGAATTAAAAAAAGAGAAAAAACTTAAAAACCATCTAAACAACAAGTTAAAAAACATAAAAACAGAAATCTTTTAAAGAATTAAAAACCAAGTCATTTGCAAAACAAGAATTAAGTTAAAAAAGAAAAAACCCATAATTACTACAATAAAATGTTAATAATTAACAAAGAAAAAAATCGAAATTTCCAAAAAAAAATCTATAAAATTTAAAAAAGTCGTTGATGTTTTCCTTTATTCTTATTATTTTTTTTTAAGTTCTCGAAGAAAGTGGTAATCGTCTTACATCATAGATTTTTGTGCATTATTTCAACGATACTATTGAAAATATGAACAATGTTCATTTGAACTCTTTTTCTTATTTTTCTTTTTCTCACCCAAAAGTGAGAGCGCGCCCAAAGAGTTTCTTTTGAATGTTGTTCTCCTATTACGAAATCGTTTTAAACGAATTTCCTCAAATAAAAATGTTGCTTTTTTATTATTTACTCAAGAAAAAAATATAATTATCATGGAGTATGTGGATGTTTAAATTAAACATAATAATATAATAACAAATAAATAATCTTTAAAGTTAAACAAACAAAAAAAAAATATCCTTAAAATATTTGTTGTTTTCTTTTTAACCATTATTTTTTATAAATACATAGTTGATACGAAATTCTCTCGATTTGTAGGGAATGTTACGTATCACAAAAATAACGTGGACTTCCAACATGTTTATGTCATGTGATAACAACATAGAAGATTGAAAAGAATGAGTGGGAAAGAGAGAGAGCTATAAATTTAGGTAATCCAATTGCTATTTCTTAATTTATCTCATTGTTTTTGTTACTGTTTTATATTAGTCTTTCATGCTGATATTTGCAACAAACAAAAATATTGACCTTCAAGTTTGCCCATCGAATTATCGAATCGACATCCCTCCAAGAAGAATATATTTTAGGAACAATCCGCCAAAATAATACCAATGTTTTCCCCCGAATAATGTGTAAATTCGTAAAAAATTTAATTCCTTGTAAGCAAGCAATTGGTCGTCTAAGAGCACTTTCTGGATCATTTCTGTTCTTCCCTCCAAAAGCAAACTGTAATTTGGGAACAATCCTTTCGCTTCTTCAAAATATTAAAAATCGGTCTATAATCCAATACAAACGTCTGAATCATAAAAATTTGCATACATTTTAGGCGCCTTAAAATCATTTCGCAAACAAATTTATTTCTCTTTAGCAAATGAAAGATTATGATCGTTTCACATTCGACCTCAGTTCTACATCCCCCTCCCCTATATTTATAGTTTGTTGTAAAAACATTTGTTGCAATTGCGTTTAACAACTCGCAACATACTGAAATGCATATCTCAATTCTGTTGGCAATTTATATCGCTCAACCGGATCAAAGGAACTCACACGAGTTGTGTAGTTGTTACAACTGTTTACTTCCTCAGCTCATGCCACTGCAATTACGCACAAATTGCGAAGTAGAAACAAGGTCCTCCAAGCGCTAGCCGGCAGCACTTGGGGAATGGACAAAGAAACCTTGTTGGCTACCTATAAAACAATTGGCCGGTCAGTGGTCAATTATGCTGCTCCAGTGTGGTCTCCATCGCTGAGTGATACCCAGTGGAGAAATATTCAAAGCTGTCAAAATGCTGCCCTAAGGACTGTAACGGGCTGCATGCAAATAACCTCAGAACCACCATCTACATGAGGAAACGAAGGTCCTCCCAGTCAAGGAACATAATGTCATGCTGACTAAACAGTTCCTCCTGGAATGTCACCGGAGGAGTCATCCCAACTTTAACATCACACAGTTGGATGCTCCCCCGAGGCATGTCAGGAAGGACCTTCGTGTATACGAAGAGAGCATACGAAGTTATGTTCAGGATCCCTTAGATTGGACTTCGTATACAGAAGCTTTGAACGACATTCATAGAGACGCCATCAATACCGCGGATTCAGGTTACCGCATGAATGTCGTTCTTGGAGGTCGCCCACCGCCCATAGCAGAAATAGAGAAGAACCTGCCGCGGAAAACAAGAGTTGCTCTGGCACAACTGAGATCGGGATAGAGCAACAGGCTCAACGCCTACTAGTCCCGCATAGACCGTGCCGTCCCCAATATATGCCCATCTTGTGGACAGGGTCCCCATGATACTCACCACATATTCAACTGTCCAGCCCACCCTACTTTACTTAGCCCAATGGATCTATGGACTAACCCTGTTGAAGTAGCCCAATTTCTTGGCTTGGACCTAAATACAGAACCCCCGGATTAAAATTGTATAGTTTAAGCTGTTACAACAACAACAACAACTCACACGAGTTCCTCAACCAAACTCCTTAACCTCTTGTGAAGTTGAAAACGTTATCATCGAATCGAAAGCTTCAAAAACTCTAGATCCGGATGGCATCTCTATGTTAAAGATGCTCCATAGGACTGGAATATCTCACTCGCATTCTGGAATTCTTGATTCACTAATTGGTGATACCAGTTATCTAGAAAATGGCTCTGATAGTACCCTTTCTGAAACCAGACAAATCCGATGTGTCAACGCAACGCACTCGATTTTGTGGATTAATCGGTGATAAATGACTTCACGGACTTCTCTCTCCCCAACGATGTCAAATTCTGGATATCCTTTATCTTTGTAGCAGTCACGCGAAACTCTTTATAGTAGATCTGGCATATCTTATCCTTCTCTAGAACACTCCATTTACTAATGATTATATAAGATATCTGCAAAGTGGTTCGGATTACAACTCTAACAAATATAATCTCTCAGAACGCTAATAGTCATAATCTTCAAGGTATTCAATCACTCGGTACTGATAAATGACATCAAGAACTTAACTCTACCTAACAATGCCAAACTCTAAATCGCCATTAACTTTGCGGCAGACACGAATTTATCGAGTTCACAGGTCAAAAATAGCAAGATTAATATGGACCTGCCACAAGGAGGATTATCCTAACGGAAAGAGTAATATATTATATAGAAAGCAATCTTCCTAAACTTTCCACAGATGCCTCTTTGTTGTCTTCTACAGCATTTTTTCAATTCTCAGGGTACGCAAACTACATTAACTAAAAGAAATAAAGTCCTTGAAGCGGTAACTGAGACATATACAATGAAAAGATTGTAGCGACATCAGTCGTAGGTCATATTATACCGACGACTCACAATCCGAAGACTTTGGCGGTAGTCATCCGCAACCTCCTTCACTTTTCATGACATGCAAAGTTTAGGAATAGGGTCATAAAAGCGTTAGCTGGCGGCGCACTTGGTCGGTCACTACTCACCCCTAGTTTGGACCTTTGAGTTTTACAAAATTAGCGTCATAGAGATCTGTGATCAAGACCGACTGAAGTGGCATTGTTGGGCAATCGATTTATTGATCCTTAATGTTTTAACTACTTTATAAAAACAGGAAACCCGATTTAATTTCCAGCCTAGGTTCGATTATTCTAAATTATTTAAGTTTTCTAAAGTTCAACCAAGTAACCGTTACCATTTTTCGAAAGTCGGAAGTCCATATTTTTATACATCTTCTATACCTACATCTGCTTCTTAACAATGAACATTTTAAAAAACCAGCTGATTTTTAACATAATCAATTCTTTTTATAACAAAGGTTAAAAGGTCAAGCCAAATTTTCTTTAAAAACATTTCATATCTACTACAGATTTGTATTTTTAAAAGATTTAAGCAGATGAAAATAAAAAAATGCGTGAAAAAACAAACAAGTTGACAAATTGTATAAGACCAAATAATAGGTACACAAAGGCGGTAAATTTTGGCGGTATTTTGTTGTTATAGTAATTGGTTAAATCCTTGTTGATGCTTAAGGTTATTAGTTAGACTGCATACTGTTTTGTTTGTACCTAAAAGGATATTATTTGCATTAAAGGTAACTGCTGCAAATAATTCAATAGTTATACCTCTTGAATTTAAACAGAGTTGGAAATTTATTTTGTGTTTGTAGCAATATACTATTAAAAACCATATAAGAGTTTTTTTAATCTTGGTTTATTAAAATTTTCAAAATTATATGAAATCTTGTAAGATCATAAAAATATGAGACCATAAGAATATTGAAAAGTAGAGAAAACAACACTTCTAGTAACTTTATATGTATGTATCGACATTTCCATTCCTGATTTCTATATAGATACAAGAATTAAGTAAATGTCAGTGTGACCAGGTCTCAAAAAATGTTGCGGCTAAATCCCATCCAAAATAATGCTAGAAAAATGCTAAATTGATTTTAAAATGCCAAAAAAAAAATGCTAAAATTTTTTAAGTGTTTTTATGAACAATTCATATTAATTTGTAACTGAAATTCATTGTAATTTATAACAAGTAAGAAAGTATATTCAGCCGTGATTGACCATATGAGTATAAAATTTGATTTGATAAAGCATTTATGTTGAATTGAACCTTGGTTCCGATATATTTAAACTAATTTTCTGAGAAAGGCTTTATACATTTGTATATGTATGGGGGCTAGGTAAAATAAAGGACGGACTTTAACCATTTTTAAAAGGTTTTGTCATTGGATCAAAAAGCATACGTGCAGACGGTCAGACTTACATGGCTTAATCGATTCAGAAAATGATTCTTAACCGATTAGTATACTCAAACGTAGTATAGTGGAGTAGGGTAAAAAATTAAGTTCCGTGGTATTAAGATAAATACCACGGAAAAAAAAAATTATTTCAAAATTTTTTTAAATATTTCTGAATGCAAAAATTACATTAAAACTCTATTAATTACACTAGTTGCTCATGGTATAAAACCTATATGTGTTTTCGGAAGGAAAAGTATAATATTTCTAGTTTTACTTTTTTTTATATAAACAATTTTATGTCTTCCTCAAAACACTTTAAAAATGGTTTTCATGTCACAAAAATATTGAAAATTCCGTTGAAATAATTTTAAATCTCGGTGAATAGATGTCAGGTTTATAACTCATACTTCCATGATTTTTTCGGAAAAATATATATGAGAATGTATGAAATGAATTGAGAGATATATTCAAATCCGTAAGTTTGTAATTCTGGAATAAATTGTCAATAATATTTTCGAAGTTTATGTATTTTTTTTAATAAAAAAAAAAACGTGACAACAAAATTACTAAAAATTTGGTAAAAATAAAAAGAACAGAAAGTAGGATGAGAAAGT